CCATGCTAGCAAAGTTAAAAGAAAATGCAATTTACCCAAAATAATCTCAAGAATCCTGCATCCTTTAATATTCATTATGACCCCATTTTCGGGTGTCGACGAGTGGGTAGAGCAAGATGACCTGACTACAATGAAGATTTATTTAAAAAGATAGCAGGTTTTGTCTTCCTTCCGTTGCATTTTAGGTCTCTTGCACAAAGCAAAAGCGCGAAAGTTTTTCAATTGTAATCTAGGAATAACCGCTAATATATAATACAAGCGTTGCATTCTTTACACTTGATAAAGTAAGGTTTTAGTGGCCCCATTCATTGGAGAAATTGGGCACTGGCGGATCTTTGCTCTCCTTATGCTGGTTCGACGATGCCACACAATTAGTCGCTGGCAGTGGTAGTGGCCAGGTTATCCACGCTCAGATAGTTGGCAGGTAAGTATAACAATGCTTGCATTCAAAACTCGAATTAAAAATGCTAGGACCGTCGAAAGTGGTGGACTGGAAGTCGTGCAAACGAAGAGAAACATGCTAGAAGTCAGAGATCTCAACGTAGATCTTGCACAAGAAACTTTGGAGACAAGGGATAGAATAACACACACTTCCTTAGCCCACAATCAGCTAATTGTTGTAACCACATCGCAGCTGTACATTTACAGGTAACTGTGGTTATTTATTTTCTAAAAAATCTTTTCAAAGTGATTGTAGCTCGAAAAACTGGAACACGCCGGTCATTGTTGACATAAAAGACAAAACCACAGCCCTTGTCCAACAATCCAGCAGGTAGTGATTGGCTTTGAGTTAGAAAGATCATTGATCAAATGTATTGCAGACTGTTCCTTGTTTCTGATGGCCAAACCGTTCTGGTATTCAATTATGACGGCAGAAGTCTTTGTGAGGTGAAGGTGCCTGGAAACGGTACCAGTAACATTAGTGAGTTAACGAAAGACAGTATGCTTGCACAATAATTGTATATGGGCTAAAATCAAAAGGGATTACGCGAAAATAGTTTTATGCGCTATCAGGTGAAAAGACCATAGCTCTATCAAATGATGTGCTCGCAATCAGAGATCGAGGGGAAACTTCAACTATCTGCTTTTTTGATCCGACATCCGGTAGAGCACTTGGAGACGAGAAGATAGTTCACGAGGTTTGTTTTCGATTCTCAGCTTGCGCATCAATCATGTTTAATTGAAACAGTACCGTAACTGTAGTTCTGCTGTTCCTTATATGGTCATTGTTATTCACTGCTAACAAAGATCAAGGAAATTTTTGATTTGATAAGCATTCCCACAGAAGTCCTTGAACGCATATTCTGAAAGAAAGCTTCTGGCTTAATTTTATTGATTATGCAAACCTCTAAAGTATTAGATAAATGACAACGAAACTTAATCGTGACCAGTATAAAGTTGTTTGAAGATAAAATAGCAAATTAAATTGTTTGCAAGTATTTGCATAGGACGACGACTGTAATTATTGATTTGAAGCGTGAAGTCATGGAAATGACATTATCGCAATGTGGAAAACTCAATGAAAGGATTCTGGCATTTCGTGACAGTGATGCAGCAGTATTGGCTGCCAGAGTGAAAACCTATGGTATTGCTCAAAGGATAGCAAGAATCGGTATGGTTTTATACCTCAAACAATCCATTGAGAAAAAAATTAGGTTGAAGGTTCTTCTGTGGAGCATCTTCACTTCAACAATACAACGAATATGCTGGCAGCAGTAGGCGAAGGGCGAGTCCGTAAGTTAATATTAAGAGTTTGTAAAATTTCATACATATGTGGAATTTGAAAGTCACCTCCTTATTTCAGTTGTGTGGCCTGCTATAGAAATAGCATTTATCGACAGAACGCTTTTACAACAATCAATCATAGAAAAACCAGTACCTGCCCTCGGGAAATTCCCTATTTTACGCAGGTAAAAACAATGGTCTATTACTTGTGTCATTACGAAACGTACCATAGCTTAAAACAAACGTATTTCCAGTTTTAATGACAATGTGGTAAGTCTGCGCCGATCCGACGGCTCTATAGTAACCACTACGATACCTCCATTCGCTGAGGCTCTGCTGAAGCATACAGCAAATTCCAAATGGGATCAAGCTATTCGTCTTTGTCGCCATATCAAAGTAAGCCATCCATCCAATTTTGCAAAAATTACAAACATATCAACATCAGAGTGAGGTTACCTGGGCCATGCTGGCCGGTCTGGCTACTGCAGCGCAAAATACCTATGCGGCTGAGATTGCCTATGGGGCTTTAGAAGAGGTTCGCTTACCCCTT